ATACTGGGTTTCCTGGGACAGTTCCCGTGTCTGCCGCTGGTTTCGGCTTAATGCAGCTACTCATAGCGCCGTCTTTTGCTCTCAGCCGCATCCCAGTCTGGACGTTATATTATAAGGTCAGTTTATTTCTGGGAAAAGAGAGGGGCCTATAGCTGAGCTGTCAGCAATGGTCGGGCCCTTAGCCTTGATTCTTGATAGGAATTTCCTTTCTCTGAGCTAGAGGGAAGTTGGTTCTGCAGACTTTCCTAAATGCCCGGGCAAGCTCCGATGGGCGACATACACGCAGGGCATAGTTGGCTCATTCTGCTTAGAAAGATGGGGCAACGTAGGTGGAGGCTGGTGACCGCATATGGGCCGATGCCTGGGCCTTGGGTGGGGGTGGGCTGGTTGGGAGTGACAGCAGCAGTGATAGTGGGAAAATGACAGCAAGTCCCTATAAAGTGGACCCATTTTCTGTCTTGATTTTTAATAGCAGCTTGCTGTGGCATGAGAGTGGGACTAGTTTATGAACATGCAAAAGGAAGAGCCCTGAAACAGAACCCACAGTACTGTCAAAATCGCACAGCTGTGGATCCCATAGACAGAGCGCTATGGATGACAGACCCCCCGCCCTCAACAGTTTTCAGGTGTGTCCAATGACATGGATCGTAAATACCTCTCAGCACCCCAGACAGGCCAATGGGCTTGCAGGGGGTGTTAAGCTAGTGGGAGGGGACACAGATTCGGCTGACCAGCTGGACCAAACAAGGCACTTAGAACTGCTTAAGGTATCTGCAAACCAGGATTTAGTTCTTTGCAGTTACGTTATGGAGGGAGCATCAAAACTACAGGAATTTGTGGGTCTTCAAAAGGGGGATCCTGTGGTGCAGCCATTGTGGGAACATATTAGCAGTTCCTCGAAAAGGTAAACATAGTGCTTTGTTCCTTGAGATCACCTCCGGAGGAGCGGTGGTGGAGGATGGGGATAAGAAAGGTAGACCTGGCCGGGTGCGGTGGCTCACACCTGTAATCCCAGCATTTTGGGAGGCCGAGGCAGGTGGATCATGAGGTCAGGAGTTTGAGACCAGCCTAACATGGTGAAACCCTGTCTCTACTTAAAAATACAAAACTTAGCTGGGGGTGGTGGCACGTGCCTGTAATCCCAGCTACTCAGGAGGATGAGGAAGGAGAATTGCCTGAACCTGGGAAGCGGAGGTTGCAGCGAGCCAAGATGGTGCCACTGCACTCCAGCCTGGGCGACAGAGTGAGGCTCCATCTGAAAGGAAAAAAAAAAAAAAAGAAAGGAAAGAAAAGAAAAGAAAAGGTAAACATAGTAACTGATTTGTGCCTTGAGGTCACCTCTGGAGGAGCGGTGCTGGAGGTTGGGGATAAGAAAGGTAGACCTGGCTGGGCTTGGTGGCTCACGCCTATAATCCCAGCACCTTGGGAGGCTGAGGTGAGCGGATTGCTTGAGGTCAGGTATTTGAGACCAACCTGGCCAACATGGTGAAATCCAGTCTCTACTAAAAATACAAAATACCAGTGAGACATGGTGGTGGGCTAATTACAAAAAAATTAGCTGGGCGCGGTGGCGCATGCCTGTAATCCCAACTACTCAGGAAGCTGAAGCAGAGACTCACTTGAACCTGGGAGGCAGAGGTTGCACTGAGCTGAGATGGTGCCACTGCCCTCCAGCCTTGGTGACAGAGCAAGACTCCAACTTAAAGGAAAAAAAAAAAAAAAGAAAGAAAGGTAGACCTTTTTGGTTTAAATCAAATGGACCCGCAGAGGCTAATTGATTGCAGACTTTCTAAGTTCTGGGCCTTTGGTGTGTGGGTGAATGGGTGAACATAAGGACACACGACTGGAGAAAGCCCCTTTTTTCATGTTAGGGAAAAACTCTCAAAAAATGAAATTCACAATATCCTAGGAGGCACCCCAGGAGTGTCTAAAGCAAGCTTCTTGAAACCTCAAAGAGAGAGGCATGAGAAGGGGCTCAGGGAATGAGTCTTTTCTTTTCGCCTTGTTAGATTTTCATTTTGTTTTGTTTCGATTTTAAGATTCCGGCGTGTGGGAATAATCTCACTGAAGAGCACAATGAGTAACACTGGGTCAGTTTGTTTACTACACAAACACACTCACACACGTTCATTTATAGAACACTATGGGATACGGTGGCAAGGATGCAAAGATGAACGACACAAAAAACCGGATTACCCTCCTTCCCCCACCCACAAGTTCCCAGTGAAGTGGGAGAGAGACATGTAAACAGATAAGTTACTGTTTCTTCTGGTGAGTGCTATACCAGAGGTGTGAGCCCACCACACACACACACACACACACACACACACACACACACACAGCCCTCTAAATAGAGCTACTCTTAACCATTTGCTCAGAAGTCCTAGTTCCAGAACATTCCCCTCCCCGCTTTTTGTGTATTTGCATGTATGATGACTTTTTGATTGAGGTAAAATTTACATAACATGAAATTAAGCACTTTAAAGTGAACAATTCAATGGCACTCAGTACATTCAACGTGTTGTGCCACCACAAAACTGTGTAGTTCTAAAACATTTTCATCAATCAGCACAAAGTAACACCCGGTACCTATTAAACAGCTACTCCCCATTCCTCCCTCCCCACAGCCCCTGACAAACACTGATATGCTTCCTGTTTCTACAGAGTTACATATTTTGGATATTTCGTATAAATGGAATCATCACGTGACCTTCTGTGTCAGGTTTCTTTGACCTAGCATAATGATTTGGAGCTTCATCCATGTAGCAGTAGCATGTACCAGTACTTTTACTTTCCTTTTCATGGCTGAATAATATTCCACTGTGTACTGCAATTTGTTCATCCTGTCACCTGTTTGTTTTCGTTTTTGTTTTTGTTTTTTTTAGAAAGAAAGAGTCTCATTCTGTTGCCCAGGCTGGAATGCAATAGTACGATCTTGGCCCACTGCAACAACCTCTGCTTCCCAGGTGCAAGCAATACTCCTGCCTCCGCCTCCTGAGTAGCTGGGATTATAGGCACTCACCACTATGCCTGGCTAATTTTTGTGTTTTTAGTAGAGATGGGGTTTCACCATGTTGGTCAGGCTGGTCTCAAACTCCTGACCTCAGCCTCCCAAAGTGCTGGGATTACAGGTGTGAACCACTGCGCACGGCCCATCCAGTCATCTGCTGATGGACATTTGGGTCGTTTCTGCTTTCTGGTTAGTAATGAATAGTGTGCTATGAACATTCACGTATTTGCTTGGGTATTTGTTTTCACCATATACCTAGGAGTGGATTTGCTGGGTCATAGGGTAATCTTATGTTTAACTTTTCAAGGAACTGCTAATATGTGTTCCACAATGGCTGCACTCCGGCATTCCCCTTCTGAAGACCCACAAAGTTCTGTAGTTTTGATGCTCCCTCCATAACGCAACTGAAAGACTGCAAATAACTGAATCCTGGTTTGCAGATACCCTAAGCAGTTCTAAATGCCGTGGTTGGTCCAGTTGGTCAGAAGTTGTGCTAATGACGCTAAGGTCAGGGTTCAATCCCCACCCTGACCCATTAGCTGAGCAGAATGGACAGAGTGAAGAATCGCGTCTTCCTGCCACATGCTCCACCATCCAGTCCTGCCCTCTTGCAAAAGCTTGTTAGTAGTCACAGGGGAATGGAGCAAGGCTGTTTTTATGATTCCACAGAAAAGGGTGGGGGGGGAGAAATTTATCATCCAAGGTCTCCTGAAGGCGCAGCGGGAGGAACTTGCAATCAGATGATTACTTTCTTCCAGTCCCGGTGTCACCTGGTTTCCACGGGCCTCTTTAAGTAAATTGTTTAACCCTGTGCAGAGCCTCAGTTTCCTTATCCCTAAAATGGGAATAATAATCCTCACTCACTAGGGATAAGAATGCGTATTAAAAACTGCACGCAGTTTTTGCTTGGTTCTTAAGGGGTTCCGATAAGAACCCGAAGGGTGGGCAGCCTCACTGTCCCCTGCAGCACCCCACTGGCTTCTGCAGTCTGCTCTTTGCTGCTCTCCGGAGGTTGACTGAGCTGGAATGGTGGTGCCCTGTTGACCAGAGGGTTGCTGGCTGTTTTAACTTGTCCTATTTGCATGGAATGAAGCTTGCTATGGTAACAAGGTCTGGTGGCTGGAATCCAGGGCCCCAGTGAAAAATGCAAAGCCTGTGCCCTGGGAGAGAAAGAGGAGCTGGAAAGGGCTTATCAACGTCAGGTTACCTCAGTTCTTCTGGGAAGACGGGAAGGGTAAACTGAGGCAGCAGGGCTCAACTCTTCTGTTCCCAGCAGAAGGAAGGGAAGAGGCCCCATTGACGCATTCCTTATCACCCAGCCTCGTCTCTGTCCCCGCCAATATTCAGCCCAGCTAAGAAGCTTAGGCGCTGGCTACGGCTGCCCCTCCGCCTGGGCGCACACGCAGGGCTCGGGCTGTGAGGAGGCGGGAGCCCGGGCGGCCCACGCCGAGGAAGGTGGGCGCTCCCTCCGAGGGTGGGCAGCGCAGGTCTGGGCGGCCGGTGGGTGGGGGGGTGGAGAGTGAGAAGCACGCGGGGCACCCGCTCGGCTCCCCTCTGAGCATTTCGTACTCGCAGTTTAAGGGACCGGCGGAGCGCGAACTCCACTCCTGAGCTGGCTCCAGCCGCCCCCTCCCCAGGAGACCCACCCCTGCCCCCCTGTGAGGCCCCCTCTCCAAGCACCCTCTCTTCCGAGCACCCAGCGCCTCCCCGACCCTAGCACCGCGCGGGGCACCGGTTCTCCAGGGCGGGGGCTGCCCCACCGCTCCAGGGAGGGGACGGAGGGCCGGCCTCGGTCCAGGCGACCCCCCGCCCCACGCCAGGGGCGCCACCTGAGCCCCCTCCCGGCAGCCGCCCGCCGCTCCCGCCCCCCGGGGGGTGTGTCTCCGAAGGAGGGGGGCGCGGGAGGCCGAGGGTGTCCCGGGCCGCCGACCCAGGCCCCCTCCCGAGCGGGCGGCGAATGGTAGGCTCCATTTAAAGAGTGCCTGGCGGCGCGCGGTGTCCTCCGAGCAGCTCTCGGCGCCCGCCCGCCGGGGTCTCGGCGATCGCTGCTCCTCCTCCTCCTTCTCCTCCTCCTTTTTCTCCTCCTCCTCCTCCCCCCGCCGCCTCGCCACCGCCGCGGCTCGGGCTGGAGGCGCCGCTGTCATTCCTGCGCCGGAGGAGCCGGCGCTGCCGGTGCCTGGGGGTCGGGGCGCGGGCGAGCCGGGCCGCGGGGGACCCAACAGGTAGAGCCGGGGGTGCCCGGCCGCGCGCCCCCCCGCGCATCATGCAGCTCTTTGTCACCTCTCTCGCCCCCAGGCCAAAATCCTGAGCATGATGGAAGACAATAAGCAGCTCGCGCTCCGCATCGATGGGGCGGTCCAGTCGGCCAGCCAGGAGGTGACCAACCTGCGAGCCGAACTCACGGCCACCAACCGGAGACTGGCGGAACTGAGCGGCGGCGGCGGCGGCCCCGGCCCGGGCCCGGGAGCCGCGGCCAGCGCCTCGGCGGCGGCGGCGGACTCGGCAGCGACGAACATGGAGAACCCCCAGCTCGGAGCGCAAGGTAGGATCGCCCCGGCGCCCGGGGCGGAGGAGGGCGAGCGAGCACGCCGGGCCCCGGAGGTGGCCGGGGACGCGGGATCCTCCACGCCCGGGGCGGAATGGCTTTGCATTGTGGCAGATAACCCTTTCCGCCCGGCGGCGGCCACCGCGGCTCCCCGGCTGGGAGTTGCAGGCTGCTGTCATTCACGAAAACCCGGGCGCAGCGTGCACGGGGTCACACGGTCACAGGGTCACACCGGCCCCGGCCAGCCCCAGAGAGGCGCAGCTGGCGGGTCCCTTCCGGCAGCAGAGAGTGCCCTTTCCATGGCACCAGCCCCCAGCTCCGTGGCAAACTTTTCATGGCGGGGCCTTTCCCCCCACCCCCCGCTGGGGCGAATGGCACAGTTGTCCCCCACTTCCGAAGGCTCCTTCCTTTGGAATGAGTCTTTCCCGGAGAGCGCTCCGGGCTCTGCCTCCGTGGTTGGGATAGAGAATTGAACTGCTGTGCACTTTTCTCCGCCGATGCCAAATCCCTTGGCTCAATTGCATCTGGACTTTATTTTCTTCCCATTTGAGGTCTCGCAAGCATTGGGATCTATGGATGCAATAGTAGATGCTCAGCTCAGCAGGGAGTTTAAATTTCCAGCAAATATAAACACCTAGAGCGCTTTCCCGGGGAGGGGGGGGATATTGTAACCCCAAAGGCTGAGCGGTAGAGCAATGAAGGTTTAGGGTAGTGGGCTGCAGGGAGCCCCTGTTTGAAGGGACTCTTTGCAGTTTAGAGGGAGAAAAAGAAGGTTGGTTGGTTTGTGTTCACATTGACAGAGATTAAGCGCTGAAGCCCCCTGCAAGACATAAAGGCGGTTGAGGCGTCCCTAAAATGTAGTTTGGTTTCTGTGACTTAGAAAGTAAAAGGGTAAGCAGGCTTTGGGGTATTTTTTTTCTTTTTGCCTAACTGCCCTTTAAGAAACAGTATCACTGGTTATTAATATATCATTTGAATTGCAAATTAAACTGCTGGAATCCAGAACAGGACAGAAAAAAATCTCCAGTCCATGAGGGCCACTTGTATAAATATGTCACTTGATGAAGTGCAAGCTACCAATTGCTCAGTGGCTCAAAATGATTTTCTGGTTCTGTTGTCGTTTCGAGAGCATCTCCTGAGTATTGAGAGAGTCTGTTTTCCTAAGAATCTGGTTCTCTCCATCAGTCTCTGTTTGCACCTTGTCTTCCTGGGAAGGTGTGCTTTCTTTGATGTGAGATGCAAAGGCTGCACACGTGCAGCTGTATGTCGAATTCCAAGTCAGATCTTAACTTGGTATTCCTGGAGCCTGTCGGAAGTCTTAGGAACTGGGGGGAGTACTTTGATAAGGAAGTAGCCATGACGTAATGGTAAGAAGGTGTTGTGGTCCTAGTGTTTGCTGCAAGCGTGACTTGTGGTTATTCTTGTCATTTATCCCTTGCAATGTCATTGTGTGTGAAAGAACATTCTCCACTGGAACCTGTGCAAAAAAAAAAAAAAAAAAAAAAAAAAGAGAGAGAGAGAGAAAGGCAGACTGCAAGGTAATGCTTCACTTTTTATAGCCAGAGGCTCTGCTAACATTAAGGTAACAGCTAAGAACTGGCATTTTGCTAAGAATTGAAAGCTGTATCGTAAAGGACACTGAACAATGCTCGTTTATTTCCCACCGTCTGCCCCTTTCTCAGCCAAGGAAAAGTTACGTGGCTTTTTATCTGAGTCCTGGGTCTAGTTGTAGACCGGGCATGCTAAGGAAGTCGACACAGTGATGATGTACACACGCTCAACTTGGAAACTGAGATACTCGAGGTTGGTCAAATTGTTGTAGCAGAGCGACAGGGGGCTACTTCCTTGCTCTTTTTTCCTGCACAAATGCACAAGGCTGTGGCAATGAAAATGGCTTTTGGATCTCTTGCTGTCTTTAAAAACACATGGTCCTAAGAACCTACCAGCAGCTCCGGTCTGCTCTCAGGACCGTGCCTGCCCGTGTCAGTGGCTGTCTGTGGGTGGTGGAATGAAGGGTGGTCTGGATTTTTCTTCTTTGTATGTTGACGTTTCTCAAAATCTTTACTAGGGGCACTTCGTGATTTTATAATCAGAAAATAAAAGGTTTAAATGGTTTAAACTCTACTTGATTGTCGGCTGCATAACTGTCTAAATTGATGTTCATTTAAACAGATGTGATGGTTGAAAAGAAAACAAGCCCCCCATAGAAGTTCAGTGGGGTGTCATTTACTTGTCCATTGCAATAGTACATGATACAAGTTCTGGGGATTTTTTTTTTTTTTTTTTTTTTTTTTTTTTTTATGGAGGGGAGGGAGTTGTTTTGGTTTTTCTTTTTCTCAGGGCCTGTGGCTAGCACAGAAACCCTCTGCAGAGGTGGTCCGGTAGTTTCTTTTGCCATTGCTTTCATTATCCTAAAAAGAAGCTTTGAGTTGTCACAAGTTAATTTTAAAGTGCGGTTGATGGGGTTCCACCTCCAGGGAGGCTCCCAGAGGCTCAGCTCCTCCTGGCTTCTAGCTGTTCTTCCTAATTAGTCTTGTGTTTTCATTTGGTCTGTGTTGATGCAACTCAAGGGTCCAGACCCTTTAGAGTATTTCAGTGCTATTGAGGCATGAGTTTTCAAATCAAGATTTTGAATGAAATGAGTATCTTTCAAAATGCAACAGTGTAAGTCATCTTTTAACTAAAGGGCATTATGTACCTATTAAATGCATGCTAATGTACCTTTAATAATATTTGTACAAATGGTTATGGGAAAGAGTCACCTTTTGCTTCCTCTGCCAAGAGATTATTAGATTCATTTTCAAATGTTTTTTGTGGTTTTTAAATTCTTTTTTAAAAATGAATGAGGCAAGCTCATCCATCCATCATTGGATGTTTTGTTCCAGGGATGACAACTGGCAGAAGGTAGGTTGGGGTCCCCTTTGGATGAAGAAACCTTGGGCTTTCCTAGAGGGTTAATGCAGTATATCATTTAAACAAAATATTAACTTGGTTGGTACCCCCTGTGAGCTGGCATGGTTGCTATGTAACAGAAGCTAGAAAGTGAACTGCTGAAAATCTGGGCTTTCGGCACTTCGGAGGATATTCTTTCGGAATCTGTGTTGAAGGAACTCCTGGCAGCCAGCCCATCTTGTCTCTCCCTGCTGCAAGTGAGTTGGATAATCCTTAATGAGAATGCTGGCAGACAGTGCAGAGGGTGTCCGTGCAGGGTGGCACATTTCACAGCGCCAGAGGCTGCCTTTTGGGTTGGTGGGGTCACAACAGCCTTTGACAGGTGGACAGAAGGAGGCTTGGAAGGAACAGAGCCAAGCGTTTGTTCCAATACGTCTTGTTGGTAGCCAGAGAAGGGATTTGTTTAAAGTAACATTTCTAAGCTGTTTTCCTCAGCATAACATCTCTGGGAAAATGTGTTTAAAATGCTAGCTGTTTTTTGAGGGGAAAATATAGCAGTTTGTTTCTCTGAAAATGTTTTATCTGATGAATGACTAATATTAGATTCAATTGATTGCTTTGCTATGTGTAGAATAAAACAATTAAGTGCTGTTGTAGCCAATTCAAATAGGTGTTAACTGTATCTAACAAAATACTTAATGCCCAGTAGGATATATGCCTACTGTCCTTAGTTTTTTCTTTAAGAAATAATTGTATTTGTACTCCTATGCAAGTGAACGTGCTGATAGCATCTTTCTCTGGTTTTGAGGACTTCCTGTCTACTGCATTTGTTAGAATGGGATGGAGGAGAGAGTGATTTTCCTGTACCTTTGTACATGTCCATAAGTACATGCAAGTTGTATTTTTCTCTCCAGGCATTAAAATAGGCTGTTACTTAAGGTCTGACAACTCTCATCTACCATGACTACAACACTGGAAACTCTTTGGTGAAGTATAAATTACCTTTGGAGTGAACTGAATGTGTGAGTAGTCTGTGGAGACGCTAGACACTGTCATTTTGCAAAATAAGTTCTGTCTTTTGGCATCCCCTTCTCAATTCATTCTGCCTCTGCTCTCGTTCTCCTAAGTAGACTTTGATCTTTTTGGAGAAAGAGAATTTTCAAATGGCAGAGAAGATGGAACAAAATGTTGGGGAGTCTCGGGCCTTCTGGTAGCTTGCCACTGAGTGACGGGGCTCATCCAGTAGCCTGTGCCTTGCTTTCCCAGACAGATCAAGGGGCTGAAATCGAGAGTGTCTTTTCCTAACTTGGTAGGCTGCCGTCGGATGGGGATTCAGACTTCTCCATGAAAATTATCATGCATGGTCACAAAGAGATTAGTTACAGATCAGTACAGTGTGGTTGAAATTACTTATCGATTGGGGATTATTTACTGTCTTTCCATTGTCTTTGGAAAATGCCTTCAAAGGACCTCTTAAATCAAGTGTCCGGTTCTGGTTAATTTCATGCTTCCAGCGTGCGCCTCATGATTTTTAGTGGTTTTCCAACACTTCTTTGATGCACCCCAGAAGTCTGGACTGACCTGACTTGTATATGACAGGAGCCTGATCACGTATCTTCCCAGGGTAAGGAATGATAGGCCCTCTCCCTCCCTTTACCCTGTTATTCCTCAAGAAGACTGCTGGCACTTTTTAGGAATCCTAGAGGGTTATAATGTGTGACTTCCTGGCTGCCAGCGAGTTTGTAGCAGATGGGCTTGGCAGGTGGCAAGAGCTCACTGGAACTTTGCCTGCTCACCGTGCACGTCATATGGAGCCCAGAAGGTCAAGCTTGGGATCTGGCCACATTCACCGCGTGTTTTCTTTACATATTATGTATCTATATATTCATTCCTGGGCTGTATAGATAAGGACAGTGACATCAACATGAAGCCCTCTGTTCTTTCCATACCTAAATGGTTTGCCTGAACATTGGTCTCTGGCTTCTTACACCCCACCATATATCAGGCAAGAGCAAAATTCATTCTGCCTGCTGAGCCCAGGAATGGGTTTTTAAGTGATGTTGCACATGGAGATAGGCCTCAGTGTCTGGGCTGCGTATTAGAGT